GGCAATACCTTTTGCCCACATCTCTGCCCCAGTCAGAAACTATCAGGCTTCCAAAACTCATTCCTTATCTCAGCACACCACTAAGCAGCAGCTAGCAAGAACCCCTGCCTCACAGACTTGACACCACAAAAGCGCATCCAGCTTTAGCTAGCTCCTCCTTCAGCTGCCAAATTACTCTACTCTCCCACCACAAGCACACTGAAAACCTTGCAGAAACATCTGATGGATTAGAGTGGTATAGGACTGCAAACATCATGCACATTGGGAATAAAGGCTGAGAAGGAAAAAGAGCTGGGGAGTTTCACAAAAATAGTAAACCGCTTTTGGAAAATGCTAAAGTTGTAGTTGTCTGTTCATTCACATGGCCCTCCCTTGTGCCTTATATCAGGCACTTGTGCTATATAAGCAGATACCTGGAATTCCAGCTACTCACTGCCCTACCATCCTCAAAATTCTCATTTTCTTATCATGGGCATGTTTGAAACATTCTACATGGTAAATGAATAGTCACTTTGCAGACTATGCCACTCCACAGATATGCTATACTATTTGTCTCCTCTTCCTTCCTCTGGGACATGAAAAAAAAGACAAACGACTTGCCTAGTTTGGTCTCCTACCTCATGTCCACATACAGTACTTCAAGGCAGCAACAAGTCTAGAATCTCCAATTAAGGCATTAAGTATATGACCATACTTTCTTCCCATGTTCCTGTAATGTTAGTTTAGATGCCCTAGAATTAGTCTTGCATTAAGGCAAGTAAAAGATTTAGGGTTGAAGAGTAAGCTAACTCACACTGTTTAATGCAACAGTGAAAAGAGACTTGAAAGAAATTGCCAGGCTAGGCTCAGCTGAACAATGACATCACTCTGAAAGTTCACATACAGAAAAAAAAAAAATCAGGAACTTTGCAGTAGCACTGGCAACAGGTAACATTTCCACCCTTGATTACCTGAAGATTGCTGTAGAAGCCACAACAAGCATAGGAGCTATTACGAAGAGACCAGTGTTTTACCCATGCTCTGCTGAGACAGAGCACCCACCCCACAGACAGAAGAATCCTCCTCCATCTCATACCATCAGGTTTTGGGCAGACTACAGTTCAGCATTGTCACCAGGTGTTTCCTCAGACTCCAAACCATGTAAGAGTACTCTACAACCAAGGAACTGACAGCAGAGTCCCTAACATTGCACTGACTGTATACATATACATTGCATACTGAATTATGATCAGTATTACTAGAACTATTACTGCTGTTAACAACATGAGCTCAACTCCGATGACATCATATTCAGCTCCATACATTTTTTCTGTGACCAACCTAAAATCCTTTGTATTTATTACCATGGTTCTTCAAGGAAAACAGAGAATACGCGTGAGAAATTTCAGTATTAACAACTAAAAACTATTTCTGTACAAACTTTAACCGCAAATATACTGATTACATCCACATCAATTTTCTGGAAGTATTCAACTTCCAGGCAATTTTTCTAGAACTGTAGTTCTAGACACCTACTGAGTTACATGCTGCATTTTGCACCTGCACTATGTGCAAAGCAGTAATGGGACAATACTTGACGTATTTGAGAAGTTAGTATCTGCAGAGGGCAAGATGAAATATGCGCAATTAAACAAGACAGATATGCCCATTTCCACAAGACTAAAAGTTGACACAACATAAGGAGAAGGAAATGCGACCCTTTCACTACATGCCTGTCCATCACACCACTATTTCTAGATTGTAAGTCTAAAAAAATTTTTAGGAGTCACATAAAACTTGAAGAATTTTACTCCGAGAGCCTGTAATGTTGATGATAAAAGAAACCCCACTGCAATGTGACATGACAGTTACCAGCCACAGGCCAAACTGGAACAGATTTCTGGAAAAAAAGGTGTGCAATAGGATCAGGCTTTCAACCAACATGTAAGCTTCACAGCAAGGCAGTTGGATAAAGTTTGAAAAACAGGCCCACATAACAGTGATCAGCAAGAATGTCCTGTAGTAGATTTTCTCTTTGTCTTCAGGTTTTGAAGGAAGTTTGACAGCAGGAAGCAATGCACAAAGAAACCTTCAGGTGGGGAGCACCTGGCTCCTGGTAATAAATGGAACAGTCTATTACCACGGCTTCACAGCTATACACATCTATGAATGCGAAATACTGTTTCAGGTTAGATCTCTAAACACATCCTGCCTCATTTTCTAGGTAGTAAAAGCAGGCATGCTAAATCATAAACAAAGTCTACATCTATGCATTATTAGCAGTTCAAACACTTTGTCAAGACAACAAGAAAAACTGCCCTATCAACAAACTTTCTTTCACAGAAACCAAGTTGTGAATTTTGAGCATATAATAATAATAATAGGAGAACAGTACAGGAACTTTGAAGCCAAGAAAACTAAGAAATTCTCCCAAATTTAAGATACCTGATTTCAGCTGCTCTCAAAAATAAGGGTTGGAATTCCACAGTTTGAGTTTAGCTAACAACTCCTTAAGTACCCCTGGGTAAATGACAAAGAAGCAAAGGCATGAAACCATGGAGATTATTCCACAACATGGAAACTAGGCATTTATCTTCCACATGTACAACTGAATTTGCACTCAAGACGGTGAGCATTGAACAGTCTTTTTTTGTAAGGACACCATTGCCTTTTTTACCTAAATCAAGTTTCAGAAAGGTAGGTCTAGAAAATGCAGTTTTCCATACTAAGATTCATTTTTAAATGGTAGCTACTACAGTCCCTTGCATTACGTCAACAGCTGCTAAATCCATCTGTCTTGCACAAGCAGAAAGCTTGTGTTTTTACATACTTGAACAGGGGAAGTTTGGTAACTAGACTTCATCCAATTTTACGCTCTT